AGTGGCATTATGTGCCGAAATGTGCACCTCTGCCTACCCCTTCGGGGATAAAAAGGCGTGATGTTATGTTATGTTATGAAAAATTGGCCCTAAATACACCTTTTTACACAAAAACTAGTAGTAGTTTTTAGATTATAATTATTGTTGAAAACATTCGTTTATAGAGTAAATCATTTTCTTAAGAAGTAGCTCGTTAAGCACTTTCTTGAACTTTGATATAATAAAATCTGGGATTGTTGTTTCTAATCTATTATATAATTTTTCTTAAGCATTGCATTTTTTGGTACAAAATATAACACCAGTCGTTGACCGTGTCTTGAACTACGTGAATATGTATTGTCACGTGCATGATGGTCACATGCTATATACACTTGGTAGAGGTCGTATGTTGAGTTCTTTGAAATAACGTTTACAGGACTCATAGGGGGAATGTCAACAATAATGGCTTTTATGCAACGTTTTTGAGATAGAAATGCCCGTTGGAAGTCTGTTGAGTTTCCCCATAATATTAATCTAAATCGTAACACGGAAGCTCTATAACCATGGTATGCTAACAATACCGTGTGTTGGGTTGATGTAGTTCTGAGTCTATTTAGCACGTTTTTTTATGGAATAAGCCGGTAAACGAACAGACGGAACACCTGATGGTAAGCACTCGGCGCCGCCAATGGACACCTGGAACACCAGAGGCGTTACATGTGTTTTATCGGCCTTTTGAAAATTGGGAATTTGAAGATTGTGGGGGATTGAGGAGACTGGGGAGGGTCGATAATTGGGCCTTCGGTAACCTCACTTACATGGCGAAATACAACGCAAGCGCTGTTTCACGTCGGTTTTCTATGAGGCCGTGGTATCACTCCGGTCGCGGCAGCGCATTCGTGCATGACTACTACGTACATGAAGCATGACTCTCTCGAACTTAGTATACAAAAGAGTTAACTTTCTTACAAACGTCATCAATATGTGCTTTTCTATCCAAATATTTATCCACGGTGAATCCTAGAAATCTAACATTGGTGGATTCGTTGTTTTTTGTACCATCATACGAGATACGCCTAGGAATAAATAGTAGTAGACCCACGTGTTTGAAATAGCATGAAAGTTGTCTTACTGATCTTTACCTGTAAGTTGTTCTTTGCTAACCACCTTACTAAATCGATGGTATTATTTATTTCACTATCAACATCATCATGAAGTATTCGTTACTAGAATGGAGTGTCATATTTATTGGTGTCAAAGGGGTGAAGGATACAGTACCTAATACAGAAAAGGATCGCTTTGGGGATTTATTTCTCGATCTTAATAATATGACAATTATGCTAATTACTAAAATGCAAGTTTGGTTAAGTTAATGCATCAATAAATTGATTTATGGATCTGGTGGATCCCTGGAGATGCATGGGATTATAAACTTTCAGCTCGTGGGATCAAGGAATATTTAGTTATCAGGAGAAATTTACGCTTATAATGCACAAATGTAAATATCTATTAATTTATACCATCCGATTTGTTCCAATAAGCCAAACGCACGAAGTGCCTTTTATTAAGATAATGCAAATATTCATATTATTCTTGTAGAGTTTACATATAAACAAAACCGGCCACGGCCAAATTGAACTCGATCACTGAGTGTTCCGTGCACAGTTGTAGTAAATATAATTTAACTTCTTTTACACTATTCAACCTTTTTTAATGATTTCCGTACACAGAGACTCCATAAGACACGAATAACTAATTTCACAATTTAAGTACCCCTCCTCAAATATTCCCAAATTTCCTACTGTATCTGTATTAAAAATAAGATAATACTATCTACTTGCCATATTTCATAGTTCTTGGTAAAGCACTCCTCGTTATTAACCCTATAACTGTTACTAATTCCCTTAAAGTTGTCGAAAAATGTCTCAACTCGTCACTGGTAGTTGCTCTATCACGTAGAACCTACATCAGTAACTTAAAATAAATACGTGCCATCCACACAGGGCGTGAACGCGTACTAGCACACTAATATAATATTCAATATTCCTAAATTTACTCGTAGTGTATGTGTGTGTGGTGTTTGTAGGTACACATGTGCTTATGTCTGTGAACATTGATGACCGCATCCAAAATATCGACATCGTCTGTTTGCTGTCGTTTGACATTACGTTAGATGCCGGAGAAATGTATAAAAGATAATGATGCGTATGAAGGTGCATCAGTCGCCCATCAGCCACCGAACCAAACTTACCAAAATGAAATCGGTACGTCCTTAAATTGTTTATCTATTTTTAATTTTATAACAGTGTTCTTGTAATTGTCATGGTACTATGGAGTTCTCTTGTTTGACACATAGTTTTATTTTTCGTCGAGACTGTTGTAAATCTGTGATACCATCGGTGTTTAATGCCTTTTATTTTCTTTGTCTGATATATTTCGTCATGAAGCTTTTTAAATTAAAAACTTCGAAAGTGTTTTTAACTTAAGTTTTATCTTTTTAACTTAAAAAGATTCATGCGACCATTTAATGAAACCAAGCCTTTACGTTGTGGGTTGTTTCCAGATCATCCTCGTCGCCCTCGCCCTCGTGGCTGTAGCCGTGGCTGGCCCCGCTGCCCCTGAAGAGGTCAAGATCGTTCGGTCTGAGTTCCAGCAGCAGCCTGAGGGTGGCTACCAATTTGGGTAAGCACTTCTATCTTTTTTTATTCCAATAAATAAGTAAAATGGCTAACTTTTTGGGATAAATAAAATATGAATATAATTTTATTCTGGTTTGCAGAAAAAAGAATTTTAACAATTTCATTAAAATTTGCGGTAATAAATATGATAAACAACATAAATCATTCAAACCATTTGCCCCGCTTAAAAAAAATATCATTCGAATCATTGTACCCATGTTAACAATTTTGATAATGTTAACAGATATGAAGCTGATAATGGCATCGTCCGTGAAGAGGTCGGTGAAGTGAAGGAAGCTCTGGATGAGGAGAACAAGCCCCACAAGGTCGTTGTCGTCCGCGGATCTTACAGCTACCCCGGAGAGGACGGCAAACCCATTTCCATCTCTTACTTCGCTGACGAGAGCGGATACCACGCGGATGGAGAATCCATCCCCAAGGTCCCCGCCAGGAGATAAGCTATCAAATACGACGCGCAGATGAATGATCAATTGATCAATTAACAAATCAATTAATTGTTTGTTCATCAGCTACCTGTGAACTGACCTGATAACGTTTAAGGAATTTATATAATGGTTACGATGAGGCAAGAGTGTGGTGCGGAAGATCATCCGCGCTTCCCTTTTGTTGCTCATTGGTTCTTGTCACTCACTGCCATATTTTTGTACGTTTTTATATTATTTGTTGTGATGTAGCAATTAAATTTCAATTGAAGTCATATGTTTGTTTTCTTTTACTTAATTGATTACTATATTCCGAAAGGTTAAACCTGTATTTGTTACTCAACAGCTCGTTGTTTTAGTAGTCCCAAATAAATATTTATTTAGCAATAATTTGAATATCAGACAAATATTACTCTCCACTTAGTGGTGTGGTGTGACGTGGGTGTGACGGTGATGACCTTTGATAAAATCTTTCATTAGTGTTCTTGGGGGTCTCTCATAAATCGCTTTTCCTCCATTCATATTTGTTTGCTGTGGATAGGTCTGTTCTTGTGTGACAGTTAGGTACTCAACCAATTGACCTTTAATAATTTTAAGCTCTGTGAAGGTTATACGTACCTAATATTTGTCTTTCTGCATTAGGTATCTTACAGTAATGTTCTATGAAAATACAGAGAGAATAAAATAGAATCGCTTATACTGTTTTCTACTCTACAAGCAAACATAAAAGTAGGAATATTAATATTAAAAAAATGTGAATAATACCTTAATATAGGGTAAAGTTCATGCATAACATTTGGTAGTTTTTGTGTCTTTCCAAAGCCGTGGAACTGCACTTTTGTAAGCAATAGGTATTACGTATTCTTAGTTTCAATTCGACACCGACATGTAAAATGATATCAAATTTTGACATTTGGAAAATTTTTAAGTTTAATTTATGTTTTCATCCTTTAAATTCTTGCAGCGATTAAGTAAAGTCTACTGCTTTGAATAACTATTTTTGTTGGCAGTGCTTAGTGTTGTTAATATAACATCAATATCTGTAGCTTTTCGTATTGGTGATTGGCCGCAACAATGCGTAGTTTTATTTTCTAACGATTGACCTTAAAAATCATAACTACCAAATTAGATGATTTAAAAGGTGTGTGAAGAATACTAATTAATGGCTACATTCGATTAAAAACAAGAATAATAAGGATAAAAATAACTCGAAAATTTCACAGCATAGTTTCAGTAATGTAGGTACATACTATTATATGGGTACCTCTATAAAAATATTCAAAGTCAATGTCAAAGCACTTATTTCAATTAACCCTAAATTAGGTACCTATTTTTAAAACGTCAAATTGAATTGTCAGTGAAACTATGTGTAGATATTATTAAGGTATTTTATTATTATATAATTCCGAGCTTATTAGCAATAAAAAGTGTGGAAGCGTACATAATGTATCGGAATGCGCACGAGACGGTTGGCGGTCAAGGTCACACCACTGTCTGCATGGCAAGCGACAATCTTGTACGTGTGTGCATTTTAACGACAACTAGTCGAATGTTGAGTCTTTACACATTAGTAACGAGTCTTGGATTTTACAGAGTCCTCGGTACCAGTTGCTGTGGTTCGCTCCATGTTACAAATTATGGTAAACCTCTCCTTGTAAGCACAAGGGGAATGTTAGCACCCTTGGCTGAAGGATTAGATATCGCAGTTGATCTCAATTTTTTATGGAATAGCAGGCAAACGAGCAGACGGATCATCTGATGGTAAGCGATCAGCGCCGCCCATGGGCACCGGCAAAACCAGAGGAGTCACAGGTGCATTGCCGGCTTTTTAAAAAGGAATACGCTCTTTTCTTGAAGGTTTGAAGGTCGTATCTTTTTTCTTTTTAAAAATAACGTTGTCACTAGGATTTTCTCCTGTGTCGTGGGTGCGTTTACAAACATACAAGTTCACATACACATGACACCCTGACCCGGAACAACAATTTGTGGATCACACAAAGAGTTGTTCCGTGCGGGAATCGAACCCGCGACACGTTGCGCGGCAGTCAATTGCCCAACCACCGTACCAACCGTGGAGTCAAGTATCGGTTCGGAAATATCGCCGACGACAGATCATTTCACAGTTTTGCTGTGCGAAGCAGAAAGCTACGTTAGAAGCGCACAGTTGTGGCCCGCCAACCTTCTATATGATGGGGATGCATATGCTGTAGTGATGGTCTACCACAGTACTGTAGCATACTGGTCATAGTTTTAAAAGATAAGGGCTTTTTTTTTTTTTTTTTTTTTTTTTTTTAAGGGGGGAAAATCATCGAATGACTGCCCCCGCCTGGGTGAGGCGGGAGGGAGTGTCAGACTCTTACTGACTAAAAACCACCCCGTTCCTTCTCCTGCACGTCGAGCCGGAGCCCCGGTTACCCGTTAGGTTCTCCGCGACAAAAGATAAGGGCTACTGTCCATGTTTTGTCATCAACAGGCGGACTTAACGATGCCGCTTCGTGAATAGTTTGTATTGTTTCTAAGCTCTGGCTGCACGCATTTGTCATTTGTAGGCTGGCCATTGTTTGTTGAAGGATGCATGCTTTCGTCAAATCACGCAACGTAGACGGTTACCCTTAGCATTATTTTAGCCTATCTCTCTAAAATAAGTTCAGTGTTAAGACTGCCTCGTTGGCCGAGTGGTCGTAAGTGCGACTGCCGGGCAAGGGGTCTCGGGTTCGATTCCCGGGTCGGGCAAAGTATTACTGGGTTTTTAAATATTCTCAGTAGTAGCACGAAGTCTGGAATTGTGCCCGGTATATGGCAATAGGCTCACCCCCTATTACATGGGACTCATAACATAAATAGTGAAAAGTGGGTGTTACATTATAGAGGTACAGTGGTTTAATGTGCACCTCTGCCTACCCCTTCGGGGATAAAAGGCGTGATGTTATGTTATGTTAAGAGATAGAGAGTCCCGGGGCTTTTGCGCAAAGTTCCCGTTCTCGTGAAACATATGTCATAAAAACTATCATATATCGTTTCCCAGGTCTCAAACTATACCTAAAAAAGATATAAAGATTCTAGATTAAATCGCAAAGAAGATTTATACAAGGGTGGAATTGATCAAAATCTTATCTTATGGGATGCCTACGCCATAACATCTATGTACCTGCATACCGAATAGCAACCCAATCGGTTTAAAACTGACAAAGTTTCATACAAACTTTCATCCCCTATTTAACCCCTTGGAGTGGAATTGATCCAAATCCTTTTATGGGGAATGCCTACGTTATAACATCTACCTTCATGCTGAATTTCAACCAGATCGGTTTATAACTGTCAAAGGTTCATACAAATTTCCATCCCCTATTTTACCCCCTTGGGGGTGGAAATGATCAAAATCTTTTCTTAGCGGATGCCTAGCTCATAACATCTACCAGCATGCCAAATTTTAGTCCGATCCGTCCAGTGGTTTGGGCTGTGCGTTGGTAGATCACTATGTCAGTCAGTCAGTCAGTCAGTCGGTCAGTCGGTCAGTCGGTCGGTCAGTCAGTCAGTCAGTCAGTCAGTCACCTTTGAATTATATATATTTAGAAGATATACCTACAGAATTGACGTCTTTACAGATTTATTATAAGTGTAGAATAAATGGATATACTTGTAGAAGATGAGGGATGTGTGACTCATTTTATAGTCACACAATGGCACGCCGGGAATGGTCTATTTGAAAGATAGGGCTACCTTATAGGTGTTGATAGCGACCATTTTAGTGGTTTTAGTGGGACTTATTTTCTCGTCTTTTTCCTCAAAAGCTTGGCGCCTTTTGAATATATTCGCTATTACCAAGAAAAGGTAAAACAATCAATCGCCACGACATATTTGTTCATCTGTAAAGACTCTTATTATTATGTATTTAGTCTTAAACTAAAGCATCGAATACGTATTAATATTCAAGTCATTAAGTAATCGAAAAATAGTTGTATTACAAGTTTTAGTCTTCTAATTCGTTTTAAAGGTAACTACATTGAATAAAAAATAAATAGAATTAAAATTCTATAAAACTTATTAACATCACATCACTCGCTACTTATATTATTAATAGTTTCTGTACGCGGTCCCGTTGGATAAAAGTAGCCTGTATACATATTAATCCAGATCATTACTGTACAGTACAGTATTTATTACTGCAATATAGGTAATTGATTAGATTGCCAACCCGCAATGAGCAAGCGTGGTGATTAATGCTCAAGCCTTCTCCGTGTGAGAAGAGGCTTTGCTCAGCAGTGGGCACTTATAGGCTGTTGATGATGATGTATTGATTTAAAGTCTGTACCTAATAGTTAGTGTTACCTCGATAATAGTATACAATATTATTTTCATTCCTGATTTATTTGTTGTGTTCATTTTGCTGAACAAAACATATAAATTCTCAAATTCTAAATTCTTTATAATTATTAACAAAATAACATTTCTAACTCAAACATTTATAATTGAAAATTTCATTTTGTGTATTTGGTATAATTAGTTTATCAAATTATAATTTTCTTACGTACGTAGTTTTTGTGTGAACCTGCAGTTTTTATTTTTTCTACTTTTATTCATATTTGCATACCAATTTCAGGTTATACTTATTAAAAATGTTAATATCAACTTAAAAATACCAAATCGATGCATGCACTATCAACAAACGAATCCGGATTAGCAATGTTATAATAAGCTCGACATTGCATTAGAAGGGGGAGAAATGTATGTATATAAGCTTAAATGACGTTAGGTTCTGACATCAGTCGCACAGCTGCTATCGAATACAACATATCAAAATGAAATCCGTACGTTCGTTTTTAATATCTATCAAAAAACAATCTACATAATTTTGAAATATTACTAAACTTTGTTTAAAATTAGATTGCAAAATCACTGTGTGCGGTGATTGACCGTCATTGCTACATGCAATTTGAATGAGCCGGCTCGATCGGGGAATTACCGCTGTCACAGAATAGCAACATGAATTAGTAACATAATGTTTTTGCATTTATTTGGGCAAGTGAGAGTTTGGGATTTTAAAATATTTTAACAATACGGTTTGTTTACTGCAGATGATCATCGTCGCCCTCGCCCTTGTGGCCGTCGCCGCCGCTATCCCCGTCGACGAACCTGCCAAGATTATCAGTGCTAACTACGACTCGAAGCCTGATGGCGGTTACAACTTTAAGTAAGTTATTATACATATTAGCCTAGAACTGATGAAATATTAACTTATTACTTTTCTTTATATTATTAAAATTATATTTAAAATTATATTATTAAAAAGAATCATAATTTACGTATCACTTACAGTTTCGAAACCGAGAACGGTATCAAACGCGTGGAAGAGGGTTCAGTGAAGGACGTCGTTGACGAGGAGAACAAGCCCCACTCAGTCGTCGTTGTCCGCGGTTCGTACTCCTACGTCAACTCTGAAGGACAATCTGAGGTCATTGACTTCGTCGCTGACGAGAACGGTTACCGCGCAGAGGGACCTTCCGTCCCCAAGGTCCCCGCCAGGAGATAAGCTACTACTGACTTCTCATCGATTTTAATTATACTTCGATAGTTTTATTGACAATGATCTGTTATGCCTAGTGACTTTGTTATCGTTTAAGTTTGCCAGTCAGACGGGAGCGCGCGGTGGTGCCACGCCACCCTTTCTTCTTAGCGTCCCTTGTTATTTAATTTTGTTACCTGTTGACTTTTATTGTAATGTGATCGCAATGTTAATAAATGAAAATGAGAAGACCGAAATTTTGGTATATTTCAATGATTTAAGCAAACCACATTATCCTTAAGAATAATTTTGAAAACATGTTAGTAGGTTTTAATAACAAGTACTGAAAGTATTTTACTCATACCTAAGAAATTATCATAAAAGTCAAATTTAAGGAACTGTATTTAATTATATATTCAAACTAGCTACCTCCGTTCGGCTACACACGCTGTGTTCGGCTCCCATTCGTCGTAGCGTGATGTTTTATGGCCTTCCTCGATAAATGCAATAACCAATACGAAAAGAATTATTTGAATTATTAAAATCGGACTAGTAGTTCTGGATATTAGCGCATTCAAACAAACAGATAAATTCTTCACACGCCTTTTATCCCCGAAAGTGTAGGCAGAGGTGCATATTAACTCGTCGAGTACCGGTTTTGTAGACACAATTATAGAACAATAGGTTGCGGTCACCGGTGACCGCTTGGTGTTTGACAGTTTAAGGCGGTTAATGCCACTGTACAATGTAACACCCACTTTTCACTATGAGTTCCATGTAATAGGGGGTGAGCCTATTGCCATATACAGGGCACAATACCAGACTCTGTGCTACTGCTTCTCAGTTTACTTTGCCCGACCTGGGATTCGAACCCGAGATCTCTTGCCCGGCAGTCGCAGTTGCGACCACTCGGCCAACGAGGCAGTCAGACAATAGGCTGGCTAGACTGTGAATTTAGTACCCCAGACTATTTTCTTTGCTATGTAAGGTTCAAAGTTTCTGTGGACCAGTTGCGTACGATTGAGCAACCGGAAACAAGTAATAAAATGAATGTCACTGGAAATGGATATTGAAACTAAAATTTTATAATTTCATAATTAGATATAGTTTTATATATATATAACATAACACTGCACTTGCACTTTACAGCACTTGATGAAATGTTGTCTTTACTGTTTCATTCATAAAATAAATAAATGAAGCAACGCTTGCGTTGTCTTTCGTCATGTGAGTGAGGTTCTCGGATGCCCAATTACCCTCCCCTTCCCCAATCTCCCCAATCCCTGAATCCCCAATGATCCTCAAACTCCTAATCCCCAAAAGGCCGGTAACGCATTTGTAACGCCTCTGGTGTTCCAGGTGTCCATGGGCGACGCCGATTGCTTACCATGAGGTGATCTGTCTGCTCGTTTACCGGCTTATGCCATAAAAAAATGTCGTTTCGGTATTTTACAGAAGAATGAATAGACCTTGTAGTGCAGATTTAGATGCCGTAATGGGAAGCAGTATCTTGGTTGTTTAAGTTTACCTATCCTCATGATGGCGAGGGCGTGACAAATATTGCCTATTTTACTACCCATGTAGTACATCTATATATCGTTAGCAATATACAGTTTGTCTATTTATCAATGACTAGCTGTTCCTCGCGACTTTGTTCGCGTATGATAATGACTTCTGACAAAGGATTTTTAAATTAGTCTTCCAAGATTAATGCCAATGGTGTGGAACAAATCACACCAGCATTGATGCAATTATATTTATTGTGAAATGTTGTTCATATTGGTGGTTTAAAAGAATAAAAAAATCCTCAGGTATTTTACCCGTCTAGTATCCATTCCCCTGAGGTTTCAGTAATTAAATTCCAATCAAATAGGTATAGCGGTTGAAAACTCTCCGGCGTCATTTTCCGAGTCTCAAACTATCGTCGCGTCATTGTACCAAATTCAAATAAGTTCAATGATTTAGAAAATAGGTAGACCCAGAAGATTAACGCAGTTCTTGTCCCGTGGGAATTCCAGGATAGAACAATCATACGTCCTTTCTATTGCCCACAGGCACTGAGACACACTCAAGCTATTGTTAAACTGAATTTCAATCTAATTGGTTAATAATATTAGTATTCAGCCTCTTTGCATACCTTAAAGTTATATGACGACAATAGAAAAAAAAAATTGTCAATCATCCATTCGCATGAAACTTACTTGCCAAAAATATGTCAGATAACATAGAAATGTGTACTTAATTTTATAAATTTGTGCGTGTCTGTTTGTTTTCTTAGAAAATTTCCACTTAATTAAAAAAAACATAATATACATACACAACTATCTAGTTGAAAGGATTGAAAGTAGCATATCCTTTTTGTTTCTTTCTAACCCACCATCTCACTAAAACAGGGGTGGAAGTTTGTATGTAGAATTTCTTATTTTTCAAAAAACCTAAAATTGGTATAACATTTGTGACCAGTAAAACATCAGGCACCAAATTTTTTTATCTTTTGTGAACATGCCCTCAATACTTTAAAAAAGTGCGAGTGAAATCGTGGGCAGAAGCTAGTCCATTAATAAAATGTATTCAGTTAATTGAATTCAAATTTTTTCCTTCAAATTCCTGATTCTGATGTAGCTAAATACTATTATTAGCCCTTGAAAACTTTTCTATTGGTAGTCAAAGGCTTAAGCAATATAAGGAGCTTTTTGGTAGTTTTTTCACACATTGGGTTATACTATCGAAATTTTCACAGGCAACCGTGTGAAAATTTCGATGAATTTCGTGTTAAACAAAATTTTATCTTATTAAATATAGCCTACGTTCGTGATGATGAAATGATTTAATAAGAAAGAATTGTCCTTTTGCAAGTTTCTAAAACATTTTTAACAAAAAATGATTCCCAAAATAAACTCGATTACAGCTGATAACAGTTAACGTACTTTCATTGAGTGTTGATATAGTTTTAATGTTGATATTTCTTCAACCATTCGTCGTCATTCCTAAATACACAAACTATAAATGTCGAGTAAATAAAATGAAAAAAAAAACAAAAATGCTCGATTACCGTTTACAACAAAACACAAATCTTATTAAGCGTCATCAGTACATTGAACTTTATAGCGACTTAGTTAGTTGTTAGTAGATGGTAATCTATCATAAAAAACTATTAGAACTATATATTCATCAATTAATTTCTAGTTTCTAGTTTTAATTGCTTTTGACGTCTTATCATCAGTGATAGGAACACTCCATGGCATTTGAATTGTACACAAATACATATTTAAAAATCGGAGATTCGGAGATCGAATTACTCTTAGAAGAAGGATATCATGTTAATTTTGTTTTTTTGGATGGTCGCTACTAGTGCCTATCTTGCATTGATTCGCTGAGAAGGTTTTTGTACCTTCTCAGCGAATCCTCTTTGGAAACAGCGAGCTTTTCTTTTTCTGTTCTTATCTATAGTAACGATAAGTAACGAAAAGTAACGATTAATTTCTATTTTAAGTCAATAATTATGATTATCTTGTCTATTTAAATTTGATTTTATTATTGTTACTACGAAAATTCACTAAACCTTTGGTTGATCTATTTGGGAATATACAAATTTCAATGTCACAAAAAAAAATTAGATATTATTATCATAATTAAACAATATTACGCATTCAATTAATGATTCCGGATTGGCCACATTGTGCGTTTGATTATATTAGAATCAGAAGAAATGTATATAAACGTATTTGGCGATAGGTGCAACATCAGTCACTCAGCAGCTACCGAACAATATGAAATCCGTACGTTCATTTATGTAGTTACCATTTTAGGACGTACTTAATTTTAAAATACTGATCAGTTTTTCAATTGTTAATTACCACATGTTCATCCAGTGAAGATGATTATTTATAAAATATTTTAACTATGTGTTTTGTGTACCTATTACAGATGATCATCGTCGCCCTCGCCCTCGTGGCCGTCGCCGCCGCTATCAGTGTCGACGACCCCAAGATCATCAGTCAACTCTTCGATCAGAAGCCTGATGGCAGTTACGTCTCCAAGTAAGGCAATCTTACCATTTTGGGACTGGATACTAAGAAATTAGAGTCAAGTTTCAATATTTAACATGATCACTAGCAAACGAATTTGCTTTATATTAAATTTAACACTATATTAATTAATAATTTGTATGTTATTCACAGATTCGAGACCGAGGACGGTATACAGCGCACAGAAGAAGGTGTGCTGAAGGAGGCTTTTGACGAAGAAAACAACCCCCATAAATTTATCGCTATCAATGGAGTCATCTCCTACGTCAACCCTGATGGTGAAGTTGAAACCATTAGCTATGTTGCTGACGAGAACGGATACCGCGCGGAAGGATCCTCCATCCCCAAGGTCCCCGCTAGTAGCTAAGCTGCTACTGACTTCTCATCGATCTTAACCATAGCTTTATTATTGACAATAATCTGTTGTGCCTAGTGACTGTTATCGTTTAAGTTTGCCGGTCAGACAAGAACGCGCGCTTCTTGGCGTTCCTTATTATTTAATTTTGTTACATGTTGAGTTTTATTGTAATGTAAATAAACACACATTTTTTGAACTTAACCTACGCATTTTTATAATTTTTATCCTAACTTATACTAATGAACGCCAATTACCGATTACTAAAAAAACTTCCCCTCGAGATAGACTCTAAGGTGCCAGGACCAAAACTTGACATCCGCAATGGCGTGTTGGAGCATTGTAATTACATCTCTGCAAGGTCTGTAGGCTCTTGTAATTTGCTCTACCATTACGTTCGATTATCTTCTGCGTCGGGTGAGCTGGAACTGTCGTTAGTCATGTCGTTGCCTCGGACTATCAGAACGCAAGAGTGCAAAGTCAACCGACTACTAGTAGTAGGTCGTTCCAGGACGCTGGGTGCGAAAAAAAAGGTCAAGTCTTTTTTTTCTTTCATCCAATGACTTCTTCCGCCTTGGGTTAGGCGAGAGGGAGTGTCATACTCTTACTGACTAAAAACTACCAAAGGGTGTCTTCAAGGCCCGAGTGAACAGGTTGCTTATGGGACGACGTGCTCCATCGTAGACCGCATCATCGCTTACCACCAGGCAAGATAGTGGTCGTCCCGTGAATTATATAAAAATATGTCACAGTTAAAAGACTGTCTTCAATTGATAAATCGCGTTTAGAGGTATATAAGTTATGGGGTAATTTAGAAATTTAAGCAAACAACTCCAAAATAACCTACTGTGTATTATAATACACAGTCATTTCATATGTAAATGACTATACTACAAATTACCTAAACAAGTTGTACTAAAAATGTTCAAATTTCATTACAATAAGATGACTTTTATTTAATTTATTTACTGCTAAAATCTAGGTGAAACTACAGACAATATTACTCACCGTATCACAAAAATACTGATGTGTCCACCTAATTATCCAATATTACAACGGAATTGTGGTAAATAATCACCTTTCGTGGTACCCTGACATGGTTGGCGGATAGAAAATAGCGTAGCGGGGCTCCCATTTCCGTCGTCTTGGTTATTTCATATTAAACTGCGGTTCTAATTGGATAGTCATTCAGTACAATACTTCACAATAATCAAAAATAAATTATTTCGACTGTTCAATACAACAAAACATTAAAAAATAATCACACTTTCGTTAATTGATTTGATGACAACTATTTTTTAAGGAATAAGTATGCTGTTTGACGCTAATAAAACGTGACGTCCCAATACACAATCTCGTACAAAAGTCATAGAAAACTGTTGTTTTTGACCGTTCGAAAAAAGTATTGAATTTGACTAGTTGGCAAGTACCCAATTAGTAGATTTGGCGCCAAAGTACCGAAATCTACATCTCAGTGAGCATTTGGGACGAAAATTTATTTCCACACCACGCGGAGTTCACGTTGGCTTTATTTTTTATAGTGTAATCGTTTATAGGCCTAGTGTTCATAAAGTCAAAATCAATGTAAAAGCATTTATTTCAATTAAACCATAATTTGGTACTTTTGAAACGTCAACAAATACAAAATAAATAATAGTCTGTCAGACAGTCCGTCAGTGAAGCTGGATGAAGCTAGGTGCCCATTCCAAAATGTAGATTCGAATGGAGAAGAATGTTCTACAATGTCTCTGATACATATCCAATACTGTAGGTATGTATATGTGAGAACAATGCGAAGATACGCTTGACGCATTATACTAATTACAAAAATACAAAAATAATAAAAAAAAAACAAAACAAAAAGCAATCTTATAGTCTAAGATGGTGCTCACATATGCATATATTGACAATCCATAAAAATAGTGTAAGGCAACTCTTTGTTTCAATGAAGAAAGAAATGCATGATGCCATAGGGAAACTAGATTTTTTTAAAGGGACAAGCCCGCCACTGTATCCCAAAACCGCTGCGACTCCTGTAAGCCAGGATCTACAGTAGATACAACCATGAAAACACCGGAACACTGAAGTCCGGCGCGTCCCAGGAACATGAATAACTGTATTGGTCTAGAGGAAACTAGATTGTCTATATTAGAATAAAAGTATTAAATTACCTACTATTGGAATCAAACTACTGACTACATTTGAGTAGTGTACTACATATTGATTACATAATTCGCGCTTAATGCATTGTTTTCATTGAGATCTAGTATGGTACTTGGTATTTTATTATAGAATTTAATACCTAATCCCATAAAGGATTTGTGTACCTTGGACAGTCTGAATTGCGGTATAGCTAACTTATTTTTGCCTCTAGTATTAAAATTGTGTCTATCGCTTCTTTTTCATATGATTTTGATACACACTTTCGAATCGCATATAGGCTATTTCGTCTTGAGCACCCATCAATATGTCATAGCCATTATTTTTAAATGAAAATGCTTGTAATGAATCAGCAAAATCGCATCGCCAATAATCCGGGCGAAAATTGCCAGTTTTCAACACTCCCGGAAAACATTCCAGTCTGAATTACTAAATTACTAAATTAGAACATAACTGTACTGTACATAACTGTACTAACTGTACTGTACATACGTATATATTGTCAGTCTATGACAGATCTTACTTTTAGTTTTTTTTAATGGCATCCTAGTCTCCAATTTATGTAGCGGAGAACCTAACGGGTAACCGGGGCTCCGGCTCGACGTGCAGGAGAAGGAACGGGATGGTTTTTAGTCAGTAAGAGTCTGACACTCCCTCCCGCCTCACCCAGGCGGGAGCAGTCATTCGATGATTTTCCTCCATTAAAAAAAAAAAGTCTCCAATTTATACATTTTTTTTAACATTGCCCCACATTAATAATTAATTCTTACTTAAATATTGCACATCTATATACTTATTCATATTGAGTAGAATTACACTATGAAATTTTGTATCGTTCTATTCAAATAAATAAATAAATCAATGTAGGTATTTTTAGATTTACTTAAGTATATCAATGTTCACTATACAAGTACCCATGAAAAAGCTAAGAAGAAGCCGAAGCTGTCAATGCCTGTAACGTTTTTCATAGTAATACAAAATTTAGTTATTTATATTTGTACTAGCTGTTGCCCGCGACTTCGTGCAGAATTTAGGCTTTTGAATTAGTCTTTATCAAGGTATATTCTACGGTTATAAATGTCGTCAGAATTGATTCAGTACCTAGTATAGCTACAATATACAATTACATATTAATGTAGCCTATAATTATGGTGACCCGACTTGTTAGTAATACTAATATTCATGCAAAATTTGAAGTAAATACATGGAGTACTTTTTGAGATCATCCCGGATACACATACAGATAAACAGACAAAAATTCTAATTACTTACCATATTTTTGGCTTCAGTATCGATTGTAGATAACGCCACAAGTATTCTTTCAAAAAAATATTCAGTGCACAGTTTTTATCTTTCTACGATTTTATTATATGTATAAATAGTATAGACGAATGTTTTTTTTTCTATAGCATAAGCCGGTAAACGTGCAGACGGATCACCTGATGGTAAGCAATCGGCGCCGCCCATGAACACCCAAAACACCAACGCGTTACAAATGCGTTATCGGCCTTTTGGGAATTGGGAATTTGAGGATTGTGGAGGATTCGGGGAGGGGGAAAAATAATTTTCTTGTTGCCTACTATTTTGTATAATTTATGTGATTTGAACGAAAGAATCACGTTGATACTTTTTTTTTGTTGTTTGTAATTAAAGTTATATAACTAGTATTTGGATTTAATAAAAATGATTTCATTTATCAATCCATCTGTTCAGTACTTATCCACATAATACATAATTATCAAATCCTAAGTATAGATAATATTTCATATTTTGAATTTTAGATTAATAGTTTGAATTTTCAAAAAATAAATGTTTTGTACCCCTACTTCTATGAACCTCTTTTTTCCAATGCGGAAGTGAATGGACTATAGATATTTTCATTTAATATAAAATAAATATTGGTCCACACTACGATAGCGGAAATCGACGCACTACACGTTGCGCGGTAGCCGGTTGTCCAGCCATTTCGGCAATCGTGCAGTGATATATCTGTATTTAATGCAATATATGTAGGATTTTCTATGCAATATGTAGGTACGAGAAAACTCAAGATCATAATCTTATGCGAATGGGTGGAAGAACATTAGGTATTTTCCAGCTTATCTAAAGGTATGGTACTATAAAAATTATAACAATTTCCCATAGGTCTGAATATTTTTTTAATTCGTGTTCCGTCTGCACCAACAATAAAATAAATCTGATTGGATAATACCCAACGGCATAAGTAGGTGAATTTATATTTATTTTTACCCTTTTCTTACATTTTTTTTATAAAACATTATAAAAAACAGCTACACCAAGTTAGGATCGAATGTCATAAAGACAAATAATATTTGCCGAATGTAATATTACCGAAACTAGTTTTTTATGGAGATGTCTTCACCACTTCATACAAATTAAAAGTATTACCAAAAATTAGTAATTTTATAAAGTACTACTTTTGACACGCTTTAATTAGGTCAATCTGTAACGAAGTATGTATTAAAAAAACTAAGAACCTGAATTACACGCACTTTTAATTGTTGTATGATCATGAAACTTGGTGATTATCTGAAGATTACATGACGACCATGCAATATTACGGTATCCCCGAGCTGGTTCGATGATAGAGTGGAAGGTCGGTGAGGGAACCTAGGGTTACCTTAATGACACTCAATTCACCTAATGAATGGTATAAATATTCTCCATCAATACAAATTAATCAAGCCCAAATACGAGGTAGTTAATATAAACCATTAAATAATTCCCTCGATTGTCTGTCGGCTCCATCATCAGGTCGACCCCAGACCCTTATTAAATTGTAGTGATTAAAAGTCTTTATTGAAAAACATAATAGACGTATTACTCGTCCCTACAATTTTCAATAATTCCTCTCGGTTATCTTAGGATTCCATAATCAGATCCTGACCACATGAAAATGGGACACTGCCGAGAGTATAACTGTTCAATCAAAACAAGAATTTTTGAACCCGATTCACAAACCGGTTCAGCCGAACATAGTACCACCTCCTTTTTTGAAGTCGGTAAAAATACTCATTTCTATCCGAATGTCTGAGGAGTCTGGAAATGTGCCCAGTATATGGCAATAGGCCCCCTATTACATGGGACTTATAACATATTAAATAGTGAAAAGTGGGTGTTACATTGTACATTGGCATTAAGTGCCGAAATAATGTGCACCTCTGCGTGATGTTATGTATGTAGGTATGTATTCTATCCGAATATCAAAGCGAGAAAGAGTACTACTAAATAGTTAATACCCAATTAAATAACTAGGATATGCTCTAGGGTAGATCACGTCATTAACAGTCAAAAACGTTATCAAATATGGAACAGTAATTTACGGGCTACCTGAGGTCTGGGTATGGAGAAAGATGTTAGAAAAAAAAACATTTTATCGGGATTTGCAGAAAAACTACACCGTGAAATATATTTCGTTTTCGTCCCGCGGCAAAACAATTTGCCATAAGAAGTAGTTTCGAAATACGTCCATGAAACATTAGACGTACTTTTGTAGGCATTATTCGCACGAGCCACCCGAAGAGAAATACCTCTTCTAGAGTTACATGGTGTAATGATTTGGTAATGTATGTACTATGAGTTCGTATGCGCTTTCGAAGTTTGATTTTTGCAATGTTTCACCAATTATGTTTTGCTTGAAACATTTTATTTCTTTTTAAAACTATTGTATAATCAAGACCATTTTATTTCGGGACGAAAACGAAGTAGATTTCACGGTATAATATGTCAACCAATTTTTTTACCATTGTAAAATAGAAAAGTTACTAACATATTTTTTAACGAAATAAGACTAAACGTTTGTATGGAGTGCCGACGATAAAATATCTAAATTCGAATGATTATTATAATTTAATATTTGCTTGATAAAGTATATTAAAATTAGTTTCTAAATCAAGTTTTTGTAACGTAAAATCTATTATAATTTAGATAGAAGTGATATTTCTAGTTTTTTTTACAACACGCACCTGTAGTATGGGACCATACGTATATGTGCTTTTCTTTTACATGTGTGCTAATCTCTTATGTATTTTAATGGAATTTTAATAAATGCATGTTTTATGTTGGATTAGAAATGTATAAAAGGTCACATTGAGATCTGATAGCCATCAGTTGCTCGCCAAGTAGTCAACAAATTGATTCCAAAAATGAAATCGGTGAGTTACTTTTTCATATTATACTTACTTAGAGCAATCCCTCGTCGTTCCAAAGAAAACATAGCTTAGTTAATAGATCATATACCATTGTTTCCCATACATACAACCATAAACGGATTGCCAACTGATGGGGGAGGTAATATAATAATGGAATATACACCACGCTACCGCCAATATACTGCTTGAGTATTAGTAGTAAGCATAAATGAACCTTGTGGACTATTTTAATATAATTACAACATGTGCATTCGTTGTTAGGATTAATAAGTATTGTATATCAGTTTATTTTAACTAATTAACAATAATGGATACAGTGTTTCTTGATGTATCACGCTAAAAAGCTGAACGATGACGTTATAAATTGAACAAAGACTGTTGGGAGATGGTACATGAATAAAATAATGTGTGACATGTTTTTGTTACATCTACGTGTAGATCACTTTAAACTGTGCCTGACCATATACTCGAACAACCTAAGGCACTTCGACTTTTTTCTTTAATTATGGTATTACGGTTTTACTGTTTCAGATCATCTTGATTGCTGTTGCCTTCCTGGCTATCGCCGCAGCTGCTCCCGTCGAGAAGGAGCCACCAAAGGTCGTCTACTACGTCTTTGAAAAAGAACCCGAAGGTTCCTACGTTTTCAAGTATGTATAGTTTTTTTAGAACCAACTAAAAACTGATCCGATCGTATCCGTATGAAAACTAAGGTATTTGATCTTAACAATTTTACTTTTCAAACAGATACGAAACCGATGACGGTACCAAGCGTGAGGAGACCGGTGTTGTGAGGGAAACTTTGGATGAGGACAACAAGTTGCAAAGAGTCGTTGTTGTCAGTGGAAGCTACACCTTCGTGAACAACGAAGGCGAGCTTGACACCATCAAATATTTCGCCGACGAGTCCGGTTATCACGCTGACGGAAAGTCTATCCCCAAGGTTCCCGCCCGGAGATAAACTAACATACCGCCTATATGAACACACGACTGATTACATGGAATATTAAATAGCATTTATTTAAAAGGATTGCTTGAAGATTTTGTATCATAAGATTTCATTGAGTTTTATTAATTAATGTCAATGTACTTAATAAATATAACTTTAGAACTATAATATAATAGTCTTATTTATTACTTATAACGAAGTTTGAGGATGATAAAGTAATTTTGTTGATTATTTGATCGAAAAACCTCTGACTGATTTTCAGGAAAGAGACAAACTGATAAAAGAAGTTATAAAATCTTATAATTTTCAGTACATGACATAACCTGATAACCTATAATAAAAAAACATGTGTTGCGTAGCCATTTGCTGAATTAAGTAATACATCAATAGTTTAACTTTAAATATATATTTTTTAAATTGATAATTTTAATTTTCACAAATCGACACATGTGATCTACATAAGCATGAAAGAGGTAGTGTTGATTGGAATTTTGGACGAATAAAATGTTAGCTACAGAACGAGTTTTAACATGATGATTGACTCCATGCCTTTAGACTAAAGAGCTACATTAACCTACGTCCACTGCTACTTGTTTTTCAAAGATCTATGTAAGTACGCAAATATCCTAAAATAGTAGGCGTTATTTGTCCGGAATATTATGTTTTTCTAGCGTGTTTTACCTAATTAAATATAATAGGAAATCAGGTACAATTAAAAAAAATTACTCAACATAGAAATGATGAATCCCCAAATATTTTATTTCAATATTTGTTACACATTAAATAAAAGTGTGAATGATTTTAAAAAGTTATTAACCTGGGAATGTAAGGGTTATGAAGGCAAAGATCTCAGAATGTGACACTTTGACTTCACAGTTAGTGCGGTAGATGGACAAATCTTTGTGTGATCCACAGATTGTTATTTCGGGTCTGAGTGTCATATGTATGTGAAATTCTGTACCTATTTGTAAACCTAAGACAAAAGAGAAATTCCGAGTGTAGGGCCACGTTTAAAATAAGATAGTCGGTCGGAAGCTTGTGACAATTTAATATAATCATTATATTCTGTATGAGATAGTAGGTACTTATCGCAATAATACAATTACACACGTAAATCAAATTCAGTTCAATACTTTTATGACGACAGAATGATTTGAAGAACTATTCAAATTAAACATGTTGTGGTGTAAATCATCACTTGGTCTTTCATTTTGATGGATGGCAATATTCGCCAGGGGTCAAGTGAATGCGGTTTTCGCGCCATTGCGTGACCTTGACGCAGATTTTGCCGTTGAGTCTAAAGTAAGTTAACTTGGCACCATTTGTCTAATTATGTAAGCCAGTTCTTTCTTGGCTCTTTCTTCTTCCGAAAAAAATGTATATTAATTGTTACTTCAGGGTCCTTTCACTGATCAGTCTCAAGTAATTAGACTTACTTTTGTGTATAAATAAATTGTATAGGGTGACTTGTAACTCGACGTATTCCTCTCGGGAGGTGATAATACAACTAATTTCCAACAATATTAGTCCTGAGGTCCCTAGTCCGAAAGTGGCTAGTTTCTGAGACATTCAACATTTTTGATTTGGTAAAAAATTCCGAACTACAAAATATGAATAAATAAAAACTACTGGTTTGATTATTGTTTCAGTATTTATCAGTTGTCAATATGTTTTGACATCAATTAACATTTATTAATACTAACATGCAAGGCTTTTCTGGGGCAATAAAAATTAACAGAACTGTGTAATTATATACTAATGGCATCAGGATGTGTCTCTGGAAACCTAGGTTTCTTTTTTCCCATTATAGTGGTGAGTATAATCTCGTAATGAATGAAAATGAGGCTATGTAATCATCACGTTACTATAGTCCAAATTAAAAATATTAATAAATATTAATGACCTAAATCATTGACTACAAAATGCCGTAACTATTTTATTATTGACGAAAATAATATATTTTAAAAAATGAATTTACATTTTTTACAAATAATTATTACCATAAAGGTGGTTAAAGGTTATTGTCACGCACGTTTGTGCCTATCAATATAGAATCCGGATTCACGGCACAAATAGTCTTTAGAAGTTATGTTACGTGACACAGAGTTGTATACAGGGTGTCCAGTAATTAATGGATAACCTTGAAATGCCTTACAATACAACTTATGGCTGCGCCGTCCTGAAAAAAATACAAAACAAAATATATATCATAAGTAGTACCTTCGATATCTTTTTTTAACGAAATGTCTATTTTTTAACTACTACTGATTATTATCCTGATCACTATGGCTAAAAATAAATGAATAGGACTGGTTTTTTATTAATTCATTATTATACACTAACTGTTCTGATAGATAGAAAATAAATAGTATGACTAGCTAATGCAGTTATTTTTATAAACCTTAAGCAAACTAATTTATTTTTGAAAAATTGGTAAGTAGGTATACAGAAAATATATTTTTTAAGGTAAGTTCATTTTTCATAACTATCTGTGCTATTAATGTAGAAAAGGATAAATTTTGATTATATAACATTTGTGATATGGGAACATTTTTTGAATTCAATTGTATTTTATCATTAAGGAATAATAAAAAACATGTTTAACTCGTCGAGTACCGGTTTTGTAGACACAATTATAGAACAATAGGTTGCGGTCACCGGTGACCGCTTGGTGTTTGACAGTTTAATGTTGAAAATAATTTATTTTATATAAATTCACAATAAATGTTCAAATTGTTTTCCTCCCACTCTTATGCACGCCCTGCATCTTTGAATAAATGGTCTTCTGAGCAGTGTTGTGTACCGCTGCTCTCTTATTTTCGATGCGGCTGCTCTGACACGAGTGCGTAATTCGTCCAAAGACGGTATAGGTTCCGACCGCATGTTCACATACCTCTTATTACCTACTATTTCTAATTAAACTGTCAAACACCAAGCGGTCACCGGTGACCGCAACCTATTGTTCTATAATTGTGTCTACAAAACCGGTACTCGACGAGTTAATAAATAAAAAGTTTGTGTTAAAAATATGTTTTTCATCTAGTATCAAAAATATAATAATATAAATTATCTCTAACTAGTTCTGCCCGCGACTTCAAAAAATGAAAGTAGCTGGTTTTCATAATAAAAGTATATTTAAATCAGATAGATTGAATTAGAGAACCCAAAATAGTAAAAATAATGTTGCTGTCACATTTACATTACGAAGAAATGTTCAAAATCGTTACTTACACTCGTATATATAACTACTAGCGGACCCAACAGACGTTGTCCTGCATATCCACTTGAATTTATAAACAAAAATTCATTCAAATTAGTTCAGCTGTTTAGGATAAATAATCTAAACATCGACTGCAGTGCCATCTGCCGGGCTGATTTGTGAATCTAAACCATTCCCAGATCCCCTTGAACACACACAAAAATTTCATCAAAATCGGTCCAGTCGTTTGAGAGAAGTTCAGTGACATAATATACACTAACAGAAGAATTACATATATAAAGATATATTATGACAAAAATCTTTTTTATTTAAAACAAAAAATGAAGTGACAAGGGCGCCATTACTGATAAAGAAAGAATTTGATACAAAATTAACTTTTGTTTGTATGTTTGTTCGTAGCTTACAGGTGGATCTAATAAAAGCATAGTAAAAAAAACCGTGTATTTTTTATATTATAAATATAATAACCACACAGGGGAAGCTGTGGGAGGAAAAAATCATTTATTCCACGGTCACAGATATTAAACAAAAAAGATTTATCGTATACCAGCTCATTTAAAACCCTGTCGCAACTTTTGTTTTAGCAATGTCATTAGAAATATTTGCATTAATTGATGTTTTTAAAGAATAATTCATCTTTGCATAATATAGAATTGTTGTAACGCTGCGATATGGCATAATTTTGTGGAGTAATATCATCAAGCAACTTTAAAAAATAAATTCGGACTAAATGTGTATTAACAACGTTATATAACAAACCGTCACGCTTTTTATTTTCTGAAGGTGTGCGTAGATTGACATGTCAAAGTCTTCTTTAACCTTTTTTTTTATGGGGCGAAAATCATCCTATGACTGCTCCCGCCTGGGTGAGGCGGGAGGGAGTGTCAGACTCTTACTGACTAAAAACCACCCCGTTCCTTCTCCTGCACGTCGAGCCGGAGCCCCGGTTACCCGTTAGGTTCTCCGCGACTTCTTTAACCTTTAACATGTCTATATGACTAATATAATGCACATTATTTTGCGTGTTAGGCATATATTTTGTAAAGTCTGTACATAAGGTCTATACAATGTACCTGTGCATCTACCTATGCAGTTATGTCCTGTCCCATATGAAAGTAAAAATCATAAGCCGGTCATACAATGCAATGCGAATTCGTGTAAATTCTTCGCTCCAGTTTATTCTTGTTCATAATTTAACTAAAATATGAGCAAAGGAATGTGAAACCTAAAAATAAATGTTTGAAATACTTATACCTATTTCACGGTAAAATAACCAGCATAAGTATCTTTTGCTGGTGACTTAGGTACACATAGGTACTCGAAACGTTATTGTAATCTATAATTAAAAACTTATACGACACACATTTACAAACTCCCTCATACGTTAAAATGTGATGGCGAATTAGCGCTTTAAAATATCCAGTTACAAAACTATCTTAGTAAAAAACTCTTTAAGTTTTAGAACAGTAGGATAAAATTTAAGTAGTTAAAGCATTTGCTGTATAATTAAGAATAGGGAAATAAATAGTAGTTCAACGGTTGACATTTTGACTGATTAAAATTTTATAAAATGAATTATTTTGTGATAAAGTACTAAGGTAATGAGTAGGTACCATCTGATATGGAAGTGAACTTGAAAATAATAAAAGTGTCCATCGAACAGTTAGGTGGCACCACTGCAGTGAGACAACTGTAATATTGCAGCTTACTATTAACTAAAGATAAGTTTTGATACTAACTATTTTAAATTTAATATTATAGTTTACGCTATTACTCCGACCCTCCCATTTGACAATTTTAGTCGGCACTTTGCACGCTTACCGAAACAATGCTCCTTGCATCACCTCAGCATGTTGTGATAATTATGTAAATAATGTCGTGAAGAGAGTCACCAAATGTCTCTTAGATACTGCATAATGAAGTGTTGGATCTGAATCTCGTTGATTAAATTAATATTATTACTTATCAAATACCAAATCCGGATTAACCACTTCGTCTATGACAGTTGACATTATGCCAGAGCGTCTGCTAACGTATAAAAGATTATTCCAAGATCGTCTGTGCATCAGTTGCTCACCAGCCACCGAACAAAAACCAAATATGAAATCGGTACGTTCCGTTTCACAATATTTACAAATTATTTCGTTTTGTGGTTTCGATCGTTCTTAATTAAGATATAATATTTATTTTTACTTAGATGATCTTTGTCGCCCTTGCCCTCGTGGCCGTCGCCGCCGCTTTCCCCGTCGATGAGCCCATCAAGATTCTCCGGTCTAACTTCGACAAGGATCCTAATGGTGATTTCCAGTTCGGGTAAGAATATTCAGTAAATTGTAGTTATGATGCTTACTCTATTAGTAAATTGAGTTGAGTGTATGAGATTGTGAGCTAATTGGTAATTTGTGTATAATTTACAGTTTCGAGACCGAGAACGGTATCAAACGCGACGAACAGGGTAAGGTGAAGGAAGTTTTGGACGAGGAGAACAAGCCCCACTCAGTCGTCGTTGTCCGCGGATCTTACTCCTACACCAATGCGGACGGTACCGTTGAGACCATCGACTTCATCGCTGACGAGAACGGTTTCCAGGCTCAAGGACCCTCCATCCCCAAGAACCCCCCCGCAAGGAGATAAGCTACCACAGACGACACTCTCATTAATAATTGATTGATTCATGACTACATGGATTAATCAATTGTTACTGACTCTATGTGTTCATTTTGAAAGAATATCTAATACTAATATGACATAGACGTATCTAGTGTATGTACCTATGTGATAAGCCTTACTGGTTTTTAGTCATATGTACGTTTTTGTACAAGTTGTTTTGTGTTATCAATAGTGACCCTGTAAATAAAAGATAATTGAAGTCATTTATATATTTTATTGTTTATCCTAATACCTACTTTAAAATGCTCATCCTCTCTCCTCCTTTCCTTTTTATGACCCGAATGTGAACAGTACAACACAAGTTTCATTCAGAAGCATAGAAAGTAATTTATCAAATTAAAATAACTTTAACAGTTGCGACCTAAATGATATGGAAATATTAAATAAAGTATAGATAATTGATTTCGAGTTTTTTCCCACTTCTTTATTCGATTCATAATCAATTTTGTTTTAAAAATGCGTAGAATCTGACAAACATACAAAGGTCAAAATATGTATAAATTATTTGTATATATTTTGACCTTTGTATAATATGTCTCATCATCATAATTCAGTTGTAAGACGTCCACAGCTGAACATAGGCCTCTCCAATGACTCGACTATGATAATTTGTAATTAAATTGTTTTGTGTCATAGAGGTAGTTACAAAATAAGGAGATAGGTAGAAGAATCATGGGTGTGGCAGAAGAAGCATGAAAGCAGGATTAATACGGTGAAAATGAGAGCCCTGAGAAGTACCTATGTGTGGACTAAATCTGAGTGATCGAGGGAAATAGTGTTATTAGAGAAAGGTGTGGATTGAAAGATGATGTCGTGACAAGGATTGAAAAGGGAATGTCACGCTGGTTTTGACATGTAGAAAGGATGGATGAATGTAGAATAACGAAACAAGTATACAGGGCGGATATGAATGGGGTCGTAGGTCGAGGGCGCCCTAGACGGACATATACTCACCAGATTGGCGATATATCAAAGAAGGGCCAAATTAAAAGTACCCTTAACCAACGAGCATGCATGTAAAGATTAATGACAGTTGATGAAGCGAAAGAGGTATGTAGGAATCGAAGTAATTGGCGTACCATAGTCTCTGCCTACCCCCAAGGGCGACAGGCGTGATGTTTTGTATATAATATGTATGTTAAGGTAGAAAACTTGAAACCACTTCTTGTTCGACTTTCTTTACAATCATCCCAAACAATATTACATTAAAACCTATGTTCATTAAGTTATTTACAATTACATATGTAGGTATAGTATCGGCATGTTATATTTTGTTATGGGCTTGTAGCACCGACTTATAAACTATAAGTGGGTAGGCTGTACAATGAACAACAGGTTATTTTTTGGTTTTTAGCTTTAGATTTTTAGTTGTAGGATTTTGAAGTCCGTTTTTTAAACGCATTTTTATTTTTAATGTTTGTTTTTAGTGTAATAGGTGTAGGTAAATAGTGAAAAGATAACACAAACATATCGAATTTTGATCACATCTATTTAAACCTAAATTTCTATCTAACGAGATTTGTCTTCTATAATTAGATCTACCGAATAGCCTCAAAGAATAATATTCTCAATCAGTACTCAGGTATACTTTTGCAAGAATTTTCTTTGTACTCCTAATCACTGAAGAGTTGTACCTTCCATCATCAATTCTTGGACCTAAAATAATGATTGTCAGACATAAATAATTGAATGACTTTAGGAAATTATCAAAATTAAAATATTAAGTGCTTATAATTTGAGGGTTGTCCTCGATTTCTCTGGAATCTCATCATCAAGTGATCATCAGGTAGCAACAGTACCAAGTTGAAAGTATACCCTAACGGACAAAAAGGAATCATGCAATTTGGATCAGAAATGTTTAAGTAATGGATGTACAAATCTACGAAGTATCATGACAATGACATCGTTTAAGTACTTATAATGCTCATGAAATAAAAACTACTGAACCAATTCGAAACAAATTTTTATGAGACCAAATTCCAGCTAGTCTGCGTCGAATAAAAAAAGATTCTCTCATATCGGTTCATAAACCTCGACGTAATCGGTGTACATATATATAAAAAAAACAACAAAAACATACCGGCCGAATTGAAAACTTCCTTCTTTTTGGGAAGTCGAATAAAAAATAAACATTCCCACATCTTGGTTTTACCGGTATAGTTCTGTCCCCGGTGGTTTCAAGAATAAAAACTATTCTATGTCCGTTCCCGGGTTACCAACCACTGTTGTACCGAATTCCAATCAAATACCTCTACATACAGCGGTTGAAAATTCTCAGGTGTCCTTTTCCGGGTGTCACACTATCGTTGTACCGAAGTCCATACAATTAAGTTTAAAAGATAGATAACCTAGAAGTTTAATGTAATTCCCGTTTCCGATTTTCGGGATGAAGACAATATCTTTTCCCAAGTCTCAAACAATAGTTGTACCGAATTGCTCTCAAATAGGTTCAGTGGTTTAAGAGCGAGAGAGTCACGAAATTTTAACGCTTGGTTCCTGTGCCGTGGGATTTCTGGTATAGAATAATCATAAGTCCTTTCCAGTACCACTGTCTTAAACTATTATTGAACCGAATTTCAATGAAATAGGTTCAGTGGTTTAAAAGATAGAGTCCAGGTATTCAGCAGATACTTCCCGTTATTCTTGGATTTTTGGGTACTCTAGTATATCACTATGTGACCTGATTTGTATCGGTTGCGATGTTACTAATTTACTATTATCTAAAGGACTGGTAAACTTTTATAGTAAATTTGATCTAGACGGACTAAAATGAAACACTATGGGTTTTGTACTGAATCAGGCAACCATTTGAGACCACTGCTATATACCTGTGTATTGTTGTTGTCCAGACAGTATGTACTATCCACTGGAAAAAAGTACATTAAAAGGTGTTGTTTAGTTCAAAAAGTTTAATGATCCAGGAAACAATTACACTTAATGCTCGTATTTTACTGACTAAGGGCCATAAAATATTAGAATACCTATTATTACTTTAGAATTGTTTTTGTATCAAATATAAAAAACGGTTTTTTTTTCGAGTTTTTCAATGTTCATAGGCATAATGGTTATTAATTTGGTTGTATCTAAAATAGATCTACAGAGAGTTTCTTTATTTTGTTTAAGACAGGCGCATATTTGTGTATGTTTTATTTAACTCGACGGCACGGTTGGTTCGGTGGCTGGGCAACCGGCTGCCGCGTAACGTGTCGCGGGTTCGATTCCCGCACGGATCAACTCTTTGTGTGATCCATAAATTGTTGTTCCGGGTCTGGGTATCATGTGTATGGAAACTTGTATGTTTGTAAACGCACCCACGACATAGGAGAAAATGCTAGTATGGGGCAACGTTTTTTTTTTAAAATAGGACTATGTCATAATTTAGGCCATCGATCAATGAGTGACAACGAGTTATACATACAAAGGGACCATGACCAGTAAGATGAGTAAACAGAAGTTGTGTAATAGTGAACTTACAATAGCACGGAATCACTGACTTAAGTAATACCAATTAATTAAGAACACCCTGATCGTGAGAAACGAACACGGCTTTAATTATAATGCTGTTGAGATGTTGTTTAAATAATAATGCATCTAGCATAATTGAATTGTTGTGTAAAACTTAAATTTTGAACGTATTTCATCTTAACTTTAAACGCAGCTTGTTAACGAAACGAGTACCGTACTGAAGTGTAATGCTATGTCCTAAGATTTTCTAAGAAGGCCTAGGTCGTACTTACGGTCTGTATGCATGCTACTATCTAATTATGTTCGTCACTTCACCTCCAACCTCCAGATCAATGTTTATTTTTACGCAGAACTGTGATCGGAAAAGTCACTTACTTAATATTGTGTATCAATTATTTAATAAAATAAATAATTTAAACAAATTTTGTACAATTATTATGCATACTGCTTTCGTATTACAATGAAATAAAATTTTCAATAAATTCATTTATTGAAGCCACTCGACAGCAAACAGTTTATTCAGTTTCTTAATAAGTACTATTATTAATTTTATTTGCTACGATAAACTATTTTTGATATTCTTTCAGTATTAGTTTATAATTAACTAGCTTCTGCCCGCGACTTCGTACGCGCAATCCCATTTTCCCCCGTTCCCGTTCGTGATTTTCGGTAAAAAGTAAAAAAAAGTATTCTATAAAAAGTATCCTATGTCCGTCTCCTGGTTCTAAGCTACCTCCCTGCCAATTTTCATCTAAATCGATTGAGGCGTTCTTGAGTTATAAATAGTGTAACTGACACGACTTTCTTTTATATAGAGGTATATAGACTAGCTGCTGCCAGCGACTTCGTACGCGCAATCCCGTTTTCTCCTGTTACCGTAGGATTATCAGGATTCTTTCGTCATAAAAACAATCTCCTGACAATATCTGACCTGTTTTGAAGTTATAGCGTGACAACGGGAAACGGGTTTCATTTCTTTTACCAGTGGCTTCGCCCGCGTTCCCAGGGTCAAAAAGTAGTGTTACTCTAGACCATAATCTACCTCTGTACCAAATTTCATCCCAGTACCGTCAGCTGTTGTGATGTGATTGACTTACAAACATACACACAAACTCACATATTTTCACATTTATAATATCGGTTCAAGCTAATTTTAATCATTGGCCCCACAATATTCGACAAACTTATATTTGCGTTTGGTACAGTAACTATTGTAGGGGTTGAAGAGCATAATTAAGTTTGTTTTTTCGTGTATATACTTTTTTGGGATAAAAAGTACCAAGATTCATCGTAATCGGACCGGTATTTTTTGCGTGATGTGTGAACAAAGAGACAGACAGACAGACAGACAGACAGACAGACAGACTAACAAATTAATTATTATATTAAATTATTTATTTTTTTAATATTTTCAATGTACAGATTTTACACTTCTATAGTTTTATTATATGTATATTGTATAGATATATATAGAAGACAGATAGTAATTTAATATTATTCACTCGTACTATTTACACGTATTACCTACTACTTATCTCAAGCCATAGACAGTGGATATAAAAAAGGTATATACTAATAGTAACTACACAGTCAACCCACTATATGTCATTATTTTATTAAAATCAACTAAATCAAAGCAGTTACATTTTATTTAATCAAAATATATGGTGGCCCACCTAACAACATACCTTAACCAAAACATCAATGTTCTCTTTATAAACAGATTTCAAAACATGAT